AAAATTCCTCAATAAACATAAAAATGTGCAGCTCCTGTCTCTTATACACATCTAGATGTGTATAAGAGACAGGGTTTGGACAGTCTCGACGTCCTATACACAACCCTTGATCCGCTACCAAAAACGAAGCGTTTGCTCAGGCGTAGGGTCGCAGTTGAGGTGTCTAGCGTCATTTTTACGACCTCTACTCAACGGTATTGCAAGAGATTCCGGTTTTTTGGAACGAGTCTAAGATTGCCATGCTTCCTATTCAAAAAAAAATAAAAAAAAATGATTGACTCGATCCGTAAGAGATGTTGAGTTCCTCTGCTATCCCTCTGATGCTAATACTTCTTTTTTAACTTTTTCGATATTGTGATCATTATTTTGCTAAATTCGGAGGCTGTCCAACCTCTCAGCGAAACCAAGGCAGACATTAKCTATGAGTTCGAAAAGACTGGGCTTCAAGATTCTCCCAACGGACGTTATTGTCAAAGCTCCAGATGTAGTGGAGATGACTAAAGTGGATGGTAACTCAGCGTCGTAACTAATTGGAAGTGGCTTCGCCATTACTCCAAAAAAAATGGGGATGTTTCATTTACTAGGAGACAACAAGATACCGGAGGCACCACTGCCGGGGATGTAATGAATCATTCTGCAGCCTTCAGATACATTGAATTGTTTAGGGCTCGTCCTAGATGGGAGGTTTTCATAGTAGCCTATTTAAAGAGAGAACAGAACAGGCATTGATTGTCATGTACTTACTGTTGCAGAGAAGCTATTAGGAAAAGATAGAGTTTGCCACCAAGAGTTGTCCTTTGACTCCGCGATACCGTAGTCAAATTCATTATTTTCTGTGGAATCCTTTTGTGGTGGAGTGTCCTAGAAAAGAGCACACTTGCAAGGAAGCTTGACAGCATGTAGTACCCGTAACCATGMATTTAAGGCTGCTTAAGGATCGCCTAACCTCGTTATCAATGACAGCGTGTCACTTTATGATAAAATTATTATGGATGCCAGGCCACTACGGAATCTGAGACAACAGTAGAACTTATGAGATAGCATGTGCTCTCCTACTGTATAGCTGCTGTCTCTT